CTCGGCCCTGCCCCTCCCAGACCAGAGAAGCACCCACCTACTCTCACCCTTCGGACCGGAAACCTCCAACGAGAGCCAATTCCGCACCCGTCCCCGCCCTCCACGGTGGAGTGGGGGAGGGCGAAGCCGCCGAGCCCCTCCCCCGGCCGCGCCTGGCTCCGAGGGCCCGAATGAATGAGCTGGGCGACGGGAGGAGCAATGCAAGGTTCCGGACCCCGAAAGATCCCGTTCCCTCAGAGGCCCAGCCTGCTCACCCTAGCACCCAGTTCCCCCCTCGCCCACCCCGGGTCCAACTGTGGCTGCGCCCCACCCCTACTCCGGGCCCGCCAGAGCCGAAGGACCGCGCTCCGCCGCCAAACCCGGGCCCCGTTCAAGGTCCCCGCCGCTGCACGCCTGCTCCCCTCGCGCGCCTCGCCGTCTCTGTACCTGCTCCCGGGCCCGCCTTTCCCCCTCCACTTCCCGCTGCAGGCGCTCGGCCCTCTCCTCTGCGTCATCGGCTTGCTGCTGCAGAACCTGGATCTTACGCTTCACCGCCTCGATGGTGGTGATCCCGGCCATGGTGCCCACCCAGCCCCTGCTCGCGCTCGGCTTCTCGCCTCCTCCGCTCCGCGCTGCAGCCGCTTCTCACCCCCACTTCCGCCTGCTCCGCCCTGAAATACCGGAACTCGCCCACCCGCCCGGACCTGACGTCACCGCCGCGCCCTGCCGCGCGGCGCCGCTGAAGGACCGCCCGCGGCCCTAGCGGGGGGGCGGGGCCTTCCCTGGCCAGCAAAGGGGGGCGGGGCTTCTCGGGGAGTGGGGCGGGCCGCCATGGCAACCCTGAGGCGAGCCGCGGTCCTACCTCCCCTCGGTCGGGACGGGCAGCCGCCTGGCCGTCGGGCGCCCGACGTGCCTCTGCCTCCGCGCTCCGCACGCGGGCTCCGAAGGCAGGTGCCTGGCCCGCGGGGCCCGCAGCCTAATCTCCATCTCCAGCGTGGCCGGCAGGTCCTCTCCGCCGTCTGAGAATCAACGAGGGACGCGCGGACTGGGACGGAAGCCGGGTGGGCACTCTGCGTCTTCTGCTTGGCATCAGCGACGCGCTCTTTCCCTCTTACTACGGAGCAAGACTACCCGGCACACCAGCGGCTTACCAACCTGCCCGCCCTTCCAAATCCTAAGTAACTGGGGCTTCGCTAACTAATCATCACTTACGTTTCTCTTCTCAATTGGGAAAGGTGTCTTTCTGCCCCCACTTTATCAAGAAGGAATCCTCTATTATCGATCACTGTTACCAGAGCCTTCGTGCAACAGCCACATGAGTGCCTGGAACACTGTCCTGTGCAACCCAGTGTCTACTCTGGATTAACATCCCCCAATTTCACTGCCACTTCTGCTTTCAGGGGCCTGAGGGAGCTGTTTATGCTACAAACTGCCTCTGTAGGCACTGCCGTGCAGGACTTTTGAAAGCACAATAGTAAAGAGACTTGAAAGTTGTACTATCTTCTCTCTTGTTTGTTTGCACCCCTCCTGCCTTTCTAGTAAACCATCATAACAAATGTCTCCTTGGTGCAATTCTCTTTCCTCCTCAGAATTATGTTGTGGAGCAGGACTTTGAAGAATCCTGACTCCTGAAACGGCTGGTAGGTAAGACAAGCGCTGCTCTCAAAGCCTGATTTTGAGGACACTCCCTCCAGAGGCTCTGTCTTCCCTATCTCCTTTTAGAAACAATGAGCCTATTTAGAGGAAACAATTCAAACAGTAAATAATTTGCTTGGTAGAGTAACACTGGTTTCTGCCCCCAGAAATTGGAAAGGAAGAACAAGGTTTTGAACCTCAGTAAACTCTACCCTGATGGCCTAAGAATTTTTCTCTCTCTTTTTGAAGAAATCTAATCAGAGGGACTATGGAAGCAGAAATGAGACGTTGTCATCTAGGTGCTAATCAGCAGGGGGCACTGTTTACCTCCCTTTGTCCTAGAGAAGGCACATGAGACTTCATCTTAGACAAACCCAAGGCGGCTGAGAGCACCACAGTATGTCTGAGACTGGTAGATGTGAACAGATAATCTTCTCTTGATCCAGGGAAACAGGTGACACCCTTTAAAGGCATGATGGATGGGCAGCACAGGGCCCAGCGCTATTGTTTTCCTGGTGACCAACAATACAACAATATATCAGCAGGTGTATATGTCCATCCCCAATTCTTGTCTCCCATCCCTTCCACGTCTGGTATGACTCTATGTCCTGACCATCACATTCCTCTTTCTCCTTGTTTTACCCTAATGAGCATATGACTTCACCTAGGACTGAGAGGACCTTGGACATAGTTGTACAACACTGTGAATGTTCTGCCACTGAACTATACACTTTAAAATGGTTAAAATGGCAAATGTTACGGATATTTTGTTACAATTTTTTTTAAAGAGGACCTCAGACAAATTCCAGGAGGAAAAACAAGTTTGGACTGACCTTGCCATACCCTTGCCCTTTCTTTGTTCAAGCAATCCAGAAAATTCTGTGCTTTTCAGAAAAGCTTCTCCGGTAACCAGAACTCCCTGTGTATACATACACTTACTGATTCCCTCTTCTCTCTGCCTCTTATACCTACATCAAAGTTACATGCTCTGTTAATCTCAAAGGTGGAAGCTGAGCTGTGAACTTCCTTGGACCGTGGTATTGGACAGAGTGCCCTTCACCCCCAAAAGGCATATATCATGTTGCTGATGACTCTGACCCTTGCTCTCTACTTTAAACTTTGTTGTCTTCTCCTTACTCAGCACTTTCCAATTCCTATAAACACTTCACTTTCCTTCTTTGATCCTTTGAGCCAGAAATCCCCCAACTTTTTCTGTAAAAGGCCAGACAGTACCTTTTCCTGGCTTTGTAGGGAAGCCACAGGGTGTGGTGACTACTCTGGTGTAGGGAGAAAGCCAATAAATAATATGCAAGTGAATGGGCATGGGTGTTGTTCCGATAAAACAGTACAAAACTAGGCTAGGGCAGGATTTACCTCACAAGTGGAAGTTTTACTAACTCCAGCTTTGGGGAAAGAAACCTTTCTTCCTGCTTCCATCTTAACCCTGCCTAAAGGATTCTTGCCTCCTGCTTACAGCCTTCCTCTCCCATTTCTTGTTCTCCAGCACACCTCTAAGGGCACTTACTGACTTGGAAGGAAAGCTAACAGGGAGAGAAGCTAAATGAGATTTTCTACCCACATGTTACATATTGAAATGGGTTTTGGTGGGTTCCTATATAAACAAAAATTTCTTTCAAGTGAATATACGGAGTCTATCCTGTCTAGATGGAGAATGACAGTGTGTTTTAAGTATGAATCCAACAGCTTCCTTAGGACAGATAGAATTCATCCTTCCCTGGGAAGGAATTTCCTTTATCTTCTGAGTAAAACTGAGGTATTGTCTAGAGCCTCTATGTTACTCTCTTTCTCCCAAGATCTAGGGTTAGACTTTGTTGTTTTCATTGCTCCTGAACACACTTCCTCTAGCCCACATACTAGCTGTTTCAGCCTCCAGACTCTCCCGGAAAGTTGTCACCCAACATCTCACAAAACTGTCATTAGCCTGACACTCTGCCAGTTTGGGAAAACTCCTGTCCCTGTATCTGTCTATTGGAGCCAGAGAGATCTATCCATCTATACCTGGAACCTTGGCCAGGCAGTTCCAGCAGGCCATTGAGCATTTGCCCAAAGCTCTGGAGGTAACCTGTGTTCATTGCAGTTTTCCAACAAGGGAGAATTAATGGTTTGCAGAGGCCTAAACTTTTGGAAATTATGAATATGTATAAAGTATATGATCTGCTTTATTTCTGATCTCTAGTATGATACATACAACTATCACTGTGTTCCCTGGCCACTGAAAGTGCCAAAAAACCAAAGAAGATGAGAGACCTAAGAGCAAAGAGACCAAATGTAAGCATCTGGAAACATTTGTGAATGGCTCACTTTGTCTCTCCAGCTATCGTCCAAAACAAAATGTGATTTAAAAAAAAAAAAAGTTCTCCTTAGGGGCACCCAGCTGGCTCTGTTGGTGGACCATATGACTCCTGATCTCAGGGTCATGAATTCGAGCCCCACATTGGATGTGGAGCCTACTTTTTAAAAAAATTTTAATTAAGAAAAAATACTTGCTCCTATTTTCCTATTAATTTAGTGCTAAGAATTGACTTCATTTCCATGAATACCACGGCATTCTTTTGTTGCTGGTATGTCACTTTTCTTCCAAACATCTTTCCTTTGTAGCCTTTCATTTATCATTGTGCTAAGCTTCAAGTTGAACACAAAGGGAAATAGGTGGTGACAGGACAAATATGAATGGAAAAAAGAATTTATTTCATGTTCAAATTGAAAAATTCAACCCTAGAGAAGCTGAGTAATTGAATCAATGCCACAGAGTAAGATCTGGTGGTGACAGTTTTACCCCATAGGATCCCTTCTTGTTTCTGTTCTTGTTTCTGATCTATCAAAGATCCTGTTTGCTGCCCTATGAGCAATGCCTGCTATGGCCTCTCTGTGGCATAAGGGCAGATGCCCACATCGGCCCTGATAAATAAACCCATATAGGGCCAGGGTCAATGTGACCTCTTTTGTCCCATTGTGAAATCTGAGCTGGCTCTGCTGGGCAGTTGAGAGATGAGCGTTTCCCTATTAATACACATATCTACGTGCCAAGTCTTGGACACAAAAGCTAAGAATGTGGCATGGGGGAGGAGATGGAACAAGTGGTAGCAATCTGAACTTGGAGTCCCCTCCCTTTGACCAGGTTCTGAGAAACCTAGTTAAATTCCTGGGTTGAGGGCAAGACAAACATGAGATTTCTCCACATGCCTGAGAACAAATATGTGTACAAGAGTGTGTCCATGTGTGACTATAGATAAGAATGTATGTATCTATGTCTCCGCTCTGTGACTCCACACGTATGTATGTGTCCAAGTGTGTTTGGCTTTAGTGATGTTAACATGGTGCTGTGCATGTGTGGGTTAACCCCTTTCCATCTCTTTAGTACTCACGTCAGCAGCCTTCTTCTCTGCCAGCTCCAGCTTCTCCTGCGCATCTTTCAGGGCCTCAGAGTACTTGTCAAGCTCGTCCTCTGTCCCTTTCAGCTTCTTCTGCATGGCAGCCAGCTCATCTTCCAGCTACAGGAGCCCCAAGAGTCACACACAAGACATACACACAATAGTGCAGGCTCAGATCCTGGGCTCCGAAGCCCTGATGGACCTCTGTACCCAGCCTATGCTAACATGGGTTAGCATTCCTAAAGAGATGTACTTTCTCTCTGTCCACTTCCAGCCAGCTGCCCTAGGAGTCAGGCCTTGCTGTGTGACCCTGGGATCTCCAACCCCAACATAACCAAGCCATGATGGATTTTCATCTTAAGACCCTGGGATGGGAAATATCTTAGGGAATAGATGCCTGTGGCTCAGTTGGTAGAGCATATGACTTTTTTTTTTAAGATTTTATTTATTTATTCATGAGAGACACACACAGAGAGAGAGGCAGAGACACAGGCAGAGGGAGAAGCAAGCTCCACGCAGGAGCCCAATGCGGGACTCGATCCCGGGACCATGGGATCACACCCCGAGCCAAAGGCAGACACTCAACTGCTGAGCTACCCAGGCATCCCTGAGCATGTGACTCTTGATGTCAAGGTTGTAAGTTCGAGCCCCATGTTGGACATAGAGATTACTCTTTTTTAATAGAATCTTAAAAAAAAAATTAAGGGAAAAAAGATGCTACATGCCAAGCTCCCACCTTTTCCTCTAGAAATCAGATCCTCCCAGAACATGATCTGCCCCCATTTAGATCCAGCAGACACACCATGGCTCAGAGGAGGCCACAGGTTTCTCTAAAGTCACATAGGCAGCCTGAGGCAAATATTCTAGATGTCTGCCTATCCAGCGAGCCTGGGGACGAAGAGGGTCGCTCCCACTCATTGCCTTTCCTGTGAGGACTGTCTCCTGTCTCATGGGTTTGCTCACCAGCAGCTGAGGGAACCGATGCCAGAACCCACCTGTTTACTTCTCTCTTCTGCCTGCTTCTGCTCAGCTTCAGCTTGCTCTGCCCGGTCCAGAGCATTCTCTTTGTCCAACTTCAGCATCTGCATCTTTTTCTTGATGGCCTCCATCATGAGCAGTGGCTGTTGGTGAGCTCACCTGTAACACTGGAGAACCAGAGATGAGGGCAAGAAAGGAGGGGCTGCTGCCTGAATGACGAGTTCTCCTAGACTCAAGCCTTTATCTCTGTCCATGGCTCCACCTCTCCTTCCTAATATGGTCTTTCCAGCTCCTTCCATCCCATTATTGTTCTCCCTGGGGAAGCACGGGGTGAGACACTTTGATGGACTGACATCACCAGCAAAGAAAAATTAGGGAACAGCTGAGGCTGATTTTAGACAATGGAAAGTGGGGGCAGGGAGAGGTTCTCCCTGACCCTGAAACTTTCCACTCTCCATACAGCTCTGTGGGTGTTTTAAAAGAACAAGGCACAGGGAGAAGGAGAACACTGACAGGGGGGTCACCTGGGTGCCTCAATGGTTGAGTGTCTGCCTTCTGCTCAGGTCGTGACCCTGGGGTCCTGGGATCAAGTCCCACATCGGGTCCCTGTGGGGAGCCTGCTTCTCCCTCTGCCTGTGTCTCTACCCCTCTCTGTGTGTCTCTCATGAATAAATAAAATCTTAAAAAGAGAGGGAGAGGGAGAGAGAGAGAGAGAGAGAGAGAGAGAGAGAGAGAGAGAGAAGTGTACTTTGGCAATTCCAGATGGGTGGTTCTCATCCAGAGGGTCCCAGTTACCCTTCTGTTTCCCCATTACCCTCACCCTGCTATAATGGATGCTGGTCAGACTCCACTGGTTGACTTTTACCTTTTGATTCCCAGTATTCAGGAACCTTGAGTAATAGTGAAGAGGGAGGTCACTCCTGATCTTTGACAAGTCCCCCAGATCCCCAGATCAAATTACCGTGCTATTTCAAGAGTCTCTAATTGGCAGGGAGACATCATTCCTCCCCCTTAAGAGCCACAGGGATGGAGTGAGCAGTGAAGGTTGGTATCTGGAAGGCCCTCCCAGAGCTTAAAGTGCGGTGAGGGAAAGAAGCAGGGGAGGGTCAGAGTCTTCTGGGTAGGGTCATGCCCTCTGTTTGCCAACAGGGATCTTTAAGTAGAACTTTCATACCCACACTGACCAAGCTCTGCGCTGCTCTCCACTCTCCTAGCTCTCTGTTCCTTCCTTACCCCCACCTGACCTTCCTACTAACACACACTCATCACAATCACATCACCCTCACCATCTCTGTTCTCCCTGGCTTCTTTCCAGGCCATGTCATTCTTCCACTTGGAGCCTCTTACTGACAGGTGGCAATTGATCCCAGTATACCAGCACCATACAATCTGAGAATATGCCTGGGGAGAGAAGGGCACTATTCAAGATGACCAAAGCTATCAGAAAAGAACATGAAGGGTTCCAAGTAGTCACATGTCAAGGATTGATGGCTATCGTTAATATTAAGCCCCAGCAGTGGGGTAACTGAGACACCCACCAGGGCACAGGGTAAAACTGGAGTCCACTCTTAGGAGCTTCCAGTCACTAGAGGTAGATGGGCAGCTAGACCATCAATTGACTCTTGAAGGAAAGCAGAAAAACCACAGCCCCTCACTGCAAGATGAGTGAACAAGGAGGTCCCAGGGATAGGAAGCAATAGTCCATAAGGGTCAGGGCAGTGTTGAATAAGGAGGAAAAACGTACAAGGACAGAAGATGAGAGATCCATCCCTTCTAGTACAAGGGAAAAATACAGAGAGATTCAATACTCAAACTCCAGCCCTCGCACTCCCACACTAGCTCTCCAGCTTAAGATTGATACCCACATACATCGCTGCCACTAGCTTTCCAAAGGAGTCCTGGAAATAAACTGTTCAGTGAGAGCCCCAGAGCCCCAGAGGTTGATGCCAAATTTCCCACTGCTGTAAGAATATGTTCGATATTTAGTTGATTCCTAATTAAACAACCCAATATCAAACATATCACACAGAAGCAGGCAGGAAAGCTTTAGTGGTCATTTGCCTCCCTCCCCTCCAGCCACCAAGCATGGCTAGATGGCAAGCCATATCCTTGGGGAAGGACACTGACCCCTGCTCTTCACCTCCCAAGATAGCTGGCTTTTACTCATCTGCCCTTTGTGCCATCCCTATATCAACTCCTCTCCTACCAGTGCCTGGCCTTTGCTGGATCACGTTAGCCTAAACCAGGAAGCGTACCTGGCAGAGCTCCACATCCGGGCTCCTATCCTTAACAAGGGCTCCCACACAGAGCCTCTCCCCCTCATGTCATGACCACAGTGCTGAGAGCCAGCCTGGCCACCTGCTCCCCTCATCCTCCTTCCCACTGCCTTGAGGCTTTCCGGGGGTTGTGGGCAGGGGGCTTGCACATCCTGATTTACCTTTCCAACAGAACACTTAATCTTCCAGATCACCCCCAGCAGACACTGAGAGCCTTCCAGCTGACCCCCTCCTAGAATCCTCCCACCTCAAGTATGACAGAAAAGTAGCCATGAGAAACTTCCAGAATGCCTGGCTGCTTCCTCCCATCATCTTGTCCCTTCTCACCTTCTCCCCATGTCTTGCAGGCACCCTTAAGGTCACCCTTGGGTGTCCAGAAGAGAAGAGTGGCCTGTCTCATTGGCAGGCTCCAGCCTAGGCTCCAGAGGTTTATGGTCTCCCCTGCCTGGTAGAACAGAATCAGGGGAAGAACCCCTCTGCCAGAAAGAAGCCTTCAGTTCTTAGGGCTCTTCTGGAACATTTTACACCAAGAATTCCTGGCCTGGCTTCTCTAAGAGTCTTCCCTCATGGGATCCAGCCTGGTTCCTTTCTGGGGGATTTTTCTTCTGAAGAGGATCAGATCTGTTGAATGTCATGCGGCAGACAGATGCTTCTCTCCACTGTGGCAGAAAGGAGCCCAAGTTATAGCCGCACAGGGCAGGCAGGGGGCTCGGGTGGAAGTGCAGGGGTGGGAGGAGGGGGCTCTGCTTCAGCCCCAGGCTTGTTCCATGTGTCCTTGTTCCCATTAGTCTGGATTCCCGCCCCCCCCCAACACATCCCCCAACGGCACAGTGCCCTTGATGTAGATCAATAGCTTGTCCGAAGGCCTAGTCAATTCCCGTTCTGTGGCCCCTGCCTTCCAGAGAAGACAGACACAAGGGCATCCAAGCCCAAGGTAGCCCTGTGCTCTTGTCCCCACTCCTTTGTGGCTCCTGCTGGGCCTGCATCAGTTCTGCTTTTGTGGCCACCTTTCTTACCCCAAAGCCCACATTTAGTTCCTTTCTCTGGGAACCTGGACTACCCCGAGGGAGCTAGAGGCTGGGAAAGGACCAGCAGGAGTTGAAGGGATTTGGTGTTTGGGGCACCAGGGGACGGAGGTAGTGAGTGTTGGTGTAGAGGAGACTGAGTCCAGGCATCCCTAGGCAGGAACAGCAAACCTAGAATGAAGGAACGCACAGGGCAGAGAGGCTGGCCTCATGTGAAAGCTTTCTCGCTCTCCGGCAAGTGCCTTCTGTGTAGCCCCTCTGAGCCAGAGATGGGTCAGGCACTAGCCATAGAGGAAGAAGGGGGTGGCTGGGTGTGATGGGGTGAAATAGTTGATGTGATGAGAGCAGACAGCAGACAGAGGGGACTGGGGGAGACGGGCTCCTGAGGGGCCAGCCTGCCAATACCCGAGCCAGCCTAGCACTGACAAGCCCTGGGGACAGAGGCCAAGGTCGGGGAGGCAGAGGGGGCAGGGTGTTCTGTGGATGCCCTGAACTGCGGAAAGGGGAACTAAGGAGATGCCAAGGAGTGTGGTGGGGGGATGGGGAGCAGCCAGGTAGCAGAGAGGAAATAAAGACGGGAAGAAGTATCCCAGGGCAGGAACTCATCACGATGGCTGACCATTCATTGGACATCAGATGCCACCTCTCTACAGAGTGCTTTATTTAATCCCCAGTGAGGGGAGGTGTCATCTCCATTTTATAAACAAGGAACCATGACCCAGAGAGTTAAGGCAGCACACCCCAAGCCACACAGGGCGTAAGTGACGGAGGCCAGATCCGGACCCAGATCTGCTGTGTTCCATGAGACCAAGGCCAGGCCTCCTGGGGGCATGGGAGCTGCAGAGCCGGCTGGGGGTGGATGCTGGGCGCAGATAAAGCCGGGGGCGGGGGGGGGGGGCACAGGCAAGGACGTGAACAGAGGGGTTCGGGCGAGCACGAGCCCCGGCCTCCAGCTGCAGGTCAGATCCCGGCCGAGTCTGCCCACTTTTGTCCCTGGCAACGCGGTTACCTCACCTCCCCTATTTATTTTAGAGAGTGATGGGAAGGTGGAGGGGCAGAGGAAGAGAATCCCAAGCCGACTCCCTGCTGAGGATGCAGGGCTTGATCCAAGGACCCTGACATCATGACTGGACACCCCAGGCGCCCCTCACCTTCCTTCCTTGTCCATGCCCACCTTCCCAATAACCCCACGGCCCCAGGTCTTGTTGGGTACAGGAACTTGGGAGTCATTGACTAAAGACACTTGGGAAACAGGGTGATGGAGGCTGGAGGATGAGCAGATACACAGGGCAGAGAGGCAGGCATGGGATGGAGTGACACCTCAGCACCACCAGGGGTGGCCAGGGTCACAGGGAAATCAGAGAGGGAAGGGGAGGATTCCCACCATTTGTCCAGCACTAGGCTTGCTCTCTGCATACATTATCTCATTTAATTCTCACAATGATCCTGTGAGATGGAAATTATTTCCTCCACTTTCAGAAAAGGAAAGTGAGGCTCAGAGAAGTACCTTATACAAGGTGAGGACAGTTCAGCGATGAAGCTGGACTCTGAACCCACATGACTCCAAAGCCCGTACCCTTCTCTATACCTGCTGCTTCTGTGCCCAGCGGTGGGGTGTGGAGGGAGAAAAGGAGCAGGCTCTGACAAGAACTGCACCCTGGAGGGTGGAGCCAGATGAGGGGCAGGGGCAGGGAGGGGAGGGGAGATGGGAGTTGTGCAGAACATGCACATAGCCCCCTGGAGTGCAGGGGGGTGCCAGGTTAGTATGCAGAGGATGAGTCGCCAATGAGGACACAGACAGCAGGTGAAGGAACAGGGACAGAGGCCTGGTGGTGTCCCTGCACTTTGTTAAAGCTGCACAACGCGGATCCCTCAGGCTTGCCTTGTGGTTTGATGTGAAGTGGATCTCCATAGCCTACAAACATATGTGATCCATCAGTACTTACAATTCTTCAGAATTTGAATGTCCTTAGATGTAACATGCTCTTGGCAGTTCACCATAAATGTCACTGCTTCCCACTTCCCTCCGCCTGCTAGTTTCCCTGCCTCACTGCCCAGGGCACTTCAGTTTGGAGCCCTGTCAATTGGCAAGGGTGGGAAAGGCAGGAATTTGAGTCCAAAAGAGAGATACTTGTCCTGGGTCTCATGACTCCAGACTTCCTGACACCCAAGCACAGGAGCCCTGTGGGTGAACAGCCACACTTAGAGATATTTGCCCAAGAAGACAGAAAGACCAGGGACGCCTGGGTGGCTCAGCAGTTGAGTGTCTGCTTTTGGCTCAGGGCATGATCCCAGGATCCAGAATTGAGTCCCACATTGGGCTCCCTGCAGGGAGCCTGCTTCTCCCTCTATGTCTCTGCCTCTCTCTCTGTGTCTCTTGTGAATAAATAAATAAAATCTTAAAAAAAAAAAAAAAGAAAGACCAGAGGAAATGACATCTGAGCAGCAGTGAGCAAAACCCACGAAGTTGTTTTAAGGTTACAGCTATGAATAAACATTGTCCAAACAAGGAAGATTTAGGGCTGAAGAACAAGCGTATGTCTACAGTCGAGCCTTTGAGAGCCAGCTTTGTCTCAGCTGCCATCAGAGTCTCTCCACATAAAATGCTTTGCCCATCTGACTTAGCTCCTGCTTGTACTGCCGATGCTCCTTTGCAAACAGCTGGTGCAGGGCCGCTTGACGGACCTGGCGGGGAGGGCAGAACACAGTGTCAGGTTTGCTTTCTGCCTGCCCTCGTCCTCACTCTCCCCCTGGTAGCTATCCAGCTTGTGTCCTCTTGTGGATTTGGATTTAGCAGGGACATAGAGCTGGGCAGTAGCAGAGAGGCTGCACCGCCAGAGGGGAAGCCCACCCAATTTTTTCTGCATGGATGAAGCCCCATGTTCAGCAAATAGTTGCTGAGAGCACCAGGAACCATGAGCTCTGCTATGCACCCAGGAAAGAGGGGCTCTAGGAGGCTAGTGAGCAAGGACACTGAATAAGGACGAGTCTGCGCTCTGGGACGTGAGAACGTGCCACCTGCCACTGAATGCAAAGAGCCACTTCATGAAGAAGGTCACATCTCTGGTGTAGTCCTGAAACCCTCAAAGGCAGATGAGATGTGTGAGTAATGGCAGCCACAAAGAGTCTGGGAATCCAGTGGGCATTGGCACAGGGTAATAGTGGATGAGGCTTCAAGTCACCCTTGCTAGAACTCACCATCAGTAGCTGCTTGTTGGCCAGTGCCAACTCCTGTCCCATGGTGTCCTGCATCCTTAGGGTAGCATACAGGTTTCTCCTCTGGCTCAGTGTCATCTGCCACATACAGCGAGTATGTGAATTTCGCCACCTGCCCCAGATACAGAAGTAGGAGCTAGATGGGTTAGTGAGGAATGGAGATATAAACCCTATTGGCGAGGCCACTTTCTTCCCAGAACCTCCATGCCAATGTCAGAAGATGGCAAACTCCTTGAAAGGGTAACTAGAATTAACTTAAAACCCTAGTCTATGTTGAATATGTAGGCCATTTAATCATAACAGCCATGTGTCAGATACCAAATTTTGCATCATACCATGAGAAAACAGTTAGGTAAGGTACCCAAGGTCACTTAATGGCAGACCTGGGTATCAAATCCAGTGTAAGAATTAATACCTTCTGTTATACCATGATTCTCAATCTTAGCTAGACAGATTCTGGAATAATTTGGTAAGGTGCATTTTGTTGTTGTTATTTTAGATTTTATTTTATTTATTATTATTTTTATTATTATTATTATTATTTTTTAGATTTTATTTTTAAGCAATCTCTACACCCAGTATGGGGTTCAAACCCACAACCCCAAGATCAAGAGTTGCATGTTCCACCAACTGAGCCACCCAGGCACAACCAGGTTGCTTTTTTTCTTTTTTAAGATTTTATTTAGAGAGACCAAGCAGGGGGAGGAACAGAGAGAGGAACAAGCAGACTGCACCAAGCAGGGAGCCCAATATGCAGCTTGATCCCAGGACCCTGAGATCACAATCCAAGCTGAAATCAGAAGTCAGCTGCTCAATCGATGGAGCCACCCAGGTGCCCCTAATACAGAAGACGATTATGCATTTCTCTCTCTCTCTCTCTCTCCCTCTCTCTCTCCCTCTCTCACACACACACACATCCTCTGCTCAGATAAATCCTGTTGAAAAATTTTAAAAAACATTTTATTTTTATTTTTTTTTAGAGAGGGGAGAGGGGCAGAGGCAGTGGGAGAGAAAGAATCTTAAGCAGATTCCACATTGAGTGCAGAGCCTGAAGAAGGTCTTGATCTCACTGATGTAGTTTTGGAATGTTGGGAAGGTCCAGAGCCAATGGCCTAGAAAGAATTCTTGAGAAGTCTTTGGTGCAAAATGGTGGTTTTATTAAAGCAGAGGGTGGGCTGGGGGGCAGGGGAAAGACACCAGACCTTGGGCGAAAAAGCTGCTGTGCCCCAGGTTTGTGAGGGGTCAATGATTATAAACATTGGGGTTGGGTGAGGTAAGGAAAAACGGAGGGTTTTTTTTTTTTTTTTTAAGAACTTTCATCTGCTAAAGAAGACTCACAGGATACTGGAGGCCTTACCATTGTCGAAGTTAAGGCTGTTTTTCCCTCTAGGAAAGCATTAACATTAAGACATTTGGGAGCTTCCTTCTGGAAGTGAGGTTATTGATAAAAACGCCTTTTTCTTGTAAATCACTAAGAAAATTGTAAATTTTGTAAATTGAGGGAGACTCTAGTCCTGTAGGATTGTAATCTCTATAAATTAACCATTTGGTTTTCCCTCCCTTAGTGCAGGGCAGCCAGGGAATGTCACACATATCCCACCTGGAAGTTGGGGGGACTGCGGGGTGTCAGCCTATGCTTTGTCCTCAGCTTGCTTTCTGATCTCTCACCATCATGACCCTGAGATCACTGATCCAAGCCAAAATCAGGAGTCGAGTACTTAATCATCTGAGCCCGTAAAGATTTTAAGTCATCTCTACACCAAGCGTGGGGTTGAACTCAGTCCCAAGATTAAGTTATGTGCATGGGATGCCTGGGTGGCTCAGCTGTTGAGCGTCTGCCTTCAGCTCAGGGCATGATCTCAGAATCCTGGGATCAGGTCCCACACCGGGCTCCCTGTGAGGAGCCTGCTTCTCCCTCTGCCTGTGTCTCTGCCTCTCTATCTGTGTCTCTCATGAATAGTTGGATAGAGACTTAAAAAAAAAAAAAAAAAGTTATGTGCTTCACCTACTAAGCCAGTCAGGCGCTCCCGCCCTGTTGAAATTTTTTTAAAAATCAAGTATTCTTTTTACAGATGATAGAAAATTTAACCCATATAGAAATATACTGAGAGTCGCAGTCGTGCTCTCCGAGTTCCTGTCTCCCTGCCCACGCTGCCCAGATGGCCTCCCGCAACTGCCACCCAGCGGCTGCCAACAAAGGAGCCCAGCCCAGAGGGGGTGCTGCCTGGGACCCTGTGAGCAAGAGGCTGCATGAGGAGCTTATGTCCCTCACGGATGTCTGGCAACAAAGGAATTTCTGCCTTCCCTGAATCAGACCTTTTCAAATGGGTGGGGACCATCACAGAACAGCTGGCAATGTGCAGGAGACTGAGGTACAAGCTCTCCTTGGCGTTCCCAAGGGGCTCTCCTTACAAGTCACCCACAGTGAAGTTTTTCACGTTTGCTACCACCCCAATGTGGACACCCAGGGTCACACCTGCCTGGACATCCTGCAGGACAGGTAATCTGCCGTGGGTGACGTTAGGACCATTGCTATCCACTGAGAGCCTTCTGGGAGAAACCAACACTGATAGCCCTATGAGCTCCAGAAAAACCCATGGCCTTTAAGATGTACCTGCAAGAAACCTCAGAGCAGGTCTCCAGCCAAGAACCCTGACTATGGAGTGTCTCTCCTTAAAAAAGCGCTGTCTTTTAATTTTTTCCTTAGATGTTCTGTCCTTTCCTTTATTTCTGCCTGGGATTTTGCTCTCTAAGCTGTGGTATCATCTTTGTTTTGTTTTTTTTTTATTAATTTTTTAAAGATTTTATTTATTTATTCATGATAGACACACACACAGAGAGGCAGAGACATAGGCAGACAGAGAAGCAGGCTCCATGCAAGAAGCCCGATGTGAGACTCGACCCCTTAACTTGGGGATCATGCCCTGAGCCAAAGGCAGATGACCAACCACTGAGCCACCCAGGTGTCCCTGTTTTTTAAACGAAGTCTCTGGTTGAGCAGTTGTAATATATTCAATAAATACACCGTGTTTAAAAAAAAAGGGGGGGGGAGGTGCCTGGGTAGCTTAGTCAGTGAAGCATCTACCTTCAGCTCAGGTCATAATCCCAGGGTTTTAGGATCAAACCTCATGGAGGGCTCCCTGCTCAGCAGGGAGTCTGCTTCTCCCTCTCCCTCTCCCTCTGCTGCTACCCCTGCTTGTGCGAGCTCTCTCAAATACATAAAATCTTCTAAAAAATTTAGAAAAATTTTAAAGAGGGCTGGCTCAGTTGGTGGAGCATGTGGCTCTTGATCTTGGTATCATGAGTTTGAGCCTCATGCTGGTGTAGAGATTACTTAAAATCTTTGGGGTGCCTGGGTGGCTCAGTCGGTTAAGTGTCTAACTCTTGACTTCAGCTCAGGTAGTGATCTCAGGGTTGAAATCCAGCTCCTATCAGGCTCTGTGCTGGGTGTGGAACCTGCTTGGGATTCTCACTCTTCTTCCCCCTCTAACCCTTCCTCTCCCTCCCTCCCTGTCAAATAAATAAAACGTTAACAAAAATAAAATAAAATAATAAAATCTTAAAAAAATATACTAAATGAAAAGTGAAATCTTTCTTCTTCTGTTCCAGTTCTCAACAAAGCTGTATTTGTGTATACTTCCAGAATATTTTACTATCATATACCACTATTATTACCTACCATGAATTCATACATTTACGTAAATACTATTTTCTAACAACTTGAACTTTTTCTTCCAGCACAGAGAATTGCTTCATTCTGTGTAAAAGCTGCCTAGTATTTTTATATCATAATTTAACCAGCTAGATTGTTTCCACTTTTTAGTTTTTTTGGTTTATTTTTTAAAAGTAATCTCTACACCCAACATGGTGCCTGAACTCACAACCCTGAGATCGAGCTGCCTGCTCCACCGATTGTGCCAGCCAGGTGCCCCCTTTTTTACTTTTATAAACAATGGCTGTCTAGAACACTCTTGTGTCTGTACAATCTTGAGTCTTTGCTGGTGTGTGTATATATATATATGGTAAACTTCTAGAAATACAGTTGCCAGTTCCAAGGATGTGTGAATTTTGAGATCTTAAGTTTTGACAGATTTCATCAAAGTGTCTTTGTAAAAAGTCTCCATCAGTCTGGACTCCCATTAAAATTATATGCAGTTGCTCCCTCATATCCTAATTGCTAGCTCTGGGTATAACCACCTGCAAAGCCTCAGAAAACTGGCTTATCCTACCTAATCGCAGACCATCATAGTCAGAATTTTCTAGATTAAGACCTGAGCACATGTCTTTTAAAAAGCTTCATGGTGAAGAAGAGATGACATATAGTCTAGTCTTCTCATTCACTCCCTCACCAAATACTTACTGCAGGGGCGCCCAGGGGGTTCTGTTGGTGAAATGTCTGCCTTCAGCTCAGGTCATGATTCCACAGTCCTGGGATTGAGCCCCATATCGTCGGGCTCCCTGCTCAGTGGCGAGTCTCCCTCTCCCTCTGTCCCTTCCCTGCTCCTGCTCTCTTTCAAGTAAATAAAATCTTTAAAAAAAAAAAATACAGCATACCTATCACATAATTAACAAAGCAAATACTTGCATTCTCCTTAACAAATAAAAGAACAAAAAGTCGACCTGATTTCCCTTCAGAGAATAGGAAGAAAGGGATAATAAAATCACCATGTGGGTAGCAGGACTAGTGGGCACTGGGAGGCTGTCCCTGAAAAGGGCTGCTTCCTGCCCCCACCCCCACTTCCTTCTCAAGGAGCCCCGAACTAGAACGAGGACCAGGATGAGTACAAGGACCAGGATGAGGACGAGGCCGATCTGAGAGGTGGCTGGAAGGGACGTGTCATGAGAGGGTGACAAGGTCAAGAGAACAGGTAAGGGAAGGGGTAGAAGCAGACATTACCTGTCAACCATCTTCTTAAATCCCTGGACCCTTTGAAAACTCTGCAAGAAAAGCGAGTTGCTCATGTCCCTTGATGTCCAGCACCCCGTCCCCAGCACCTTTCCCTGAGGGCACATGGGCTTTTGTTTCTTGACAGAGAATGGCCACTTCCTAGGGAAGTGAGGACAAAAATGCTACTCCTTTCAGAAGGGGTCAGAGAAAACATGCGGAAGGAGCTGGTAGGGAACGACCAGCAGTTACAGCATGGGCCCCTCAGGAAACCGTCTGCTTCTGGTCAGCTAGCCCCCTTCTTCCTCTGCATACCTCTTCTACTTTCATTGTCTTTTCCACAGACATGTTCCCAAGCTGGCAGGACGTGAGACGCGAAACAGGCTCTCCTTTCTGTCCAATGGGTCACCCAGGACTCAGTAGTCATAGTGACACATTCTCCTCCAACAACACATTGAGCCTAGGACTTGATTGGTCACCTGGCCTATTGCCCTGGAGACCTGAGGTGAATCCTGGTTCTCCTGCCTTCTATTAGTGACACAGGCCATTTTAGAAGCAAGGACCATAGTCCCAATTTTAGGACTTTTGTGGGGTCTCTGTATGATCCTAGGTCCAAAGAACACCTGAGTGGCTCAGTCTGTTAAGCATCTGATCCTTAATCAGGATCTCAGGGTCCTGAGATGGAGCCTCCTGTCAGGCTCCACCCTCAGTGGGGTTATCTGCTTCTCTCCCTCTGCCCCTCCCTCTGCTCACACGCATGCACATTCCCAAATAAATAAATCTTTAAAAAGAGAATAACTATAAAAAGATGAATCATGTTTTTAATTACTCATTTTATTAAATAATTTAGAATGTCAGAACCGTAGATTGGTCTGACATTTCTTCACTGTCCCATAAGCACCCCAAGTAAGTGGGGGGATGGGATTAGGATAGGTGCCAACATTCCTTTTTCCATTTATTCAAGACAGTATGGAAAGAAAGCACAAGGGCAAATCCTTGCATGTCAGGGAAGTTGTGTTAATGTTTCCACACATACCAGTTTAAGTGGAGAACCAGACAAACCACTCCACATTGATCTCACGGCCTCACAAGATCTCCCCACTAGTTCGTGTCTGTCTTTCCTGCCAATCACCTCTAAGAGAGCTCAAACCCAAATGGTCCTCATTCAGCTGTGCATGAAGGGGTAGACATGGAAGACACCAAGCCCCACCACCCCAACTCTCACTCAGGATTATTTATAGTCTGGAAAATGGAAAAAAAAGGGCAAATGAACTATAATCAAAACCAAGTGAGGATTTTTAAGGAAGCATTAATGGAACATTAAGAAAAACATCTGAATTCAACTCCAGGAAAAAGTACTACCAAAGGAAAATAAAGTCCTGACTCTCTGAAACTAACTGTAAGAACAGGCTGAAGAACGATTCTCTAGGAATGAACCCTAAAAGTGCTGGACACGGTGGCACTTCAGCTGACCTGGGCCCACAAGCCAGATGACCCGAGGCCACTGGCCCTGCCAGCAGCAGCAGCGTCCATCAGGCAGTCACAGTGTACTTTCCAGTGTGTTATAGTTGTCCTTAAAACTTTTCAACTCCAGGAAGTGCTTGGCACGTTTACTCTTCTGACTGGAGGGGAGGTATGTCACCTGGATGGTTGTCGGGGAGACTTCAGGAGACTGGGTTAGATCTTTGGCTGCCGACTGGTGCTGTCTCTGAGAGCTCCCGCTTCGTGCTTTGACCCTGGAGAATATAGAGAGGGCAGGTCGAGGACAGAACAAGGACTAGCACAAGAATACAATTCAAAGCTTGTCCATTCTACATAAACGTAGCTATAGCCACAACTGATCCCATCCCATCTAAAAACTAGTTACTAAAATCCCATCCGATAGCTTGGAAGTAACAGAGAAACCAATTTTCCCACTGAGTCCCTGCCTCAACATTTTTTTTTTTTAAGATTTTATTTATTTATAGAGACAGAGAGAGAGAGAGAGAGGGGCAGAGACACAGGGAGAGAGAGAAGCAGGCTCCATGCAGGGAACCCAACGTGGGACTCAATCCCGGGTCTCCAGGATCACACCCGGGGCTGCAGGCGGCGCTAAACCCATGCTCAACATTTGCCCATGGCTCAACATTTTCTTCCTCTCACTATAAAGAAAACTTTAGGGCAGCCCGGGTGGCTCAGAGGTTTAGCACTGCCTTCAGTCCAGGGCCTGATCCTGGAGACCCGGATTGAGTCCCACATCAGGCTCCTTGCATGAAGTCTGCTTCTCCCTCTGTCTGTGTCTCTGCCGCTCTCTGTGTCTCTTATTAATAAATAAAATCTTAAAAAAAAAGTTATTTAAAGAAAACTTTAAGTTCTGCCGATTCCTCTAATGCATGTATGCCACTAATATATTCCCAATCCAAAAACAGTCCTTTGAAAACTCAACACCAAAAAATAAGAACAGGAGCAGCTACTGAGTACTTAGGACATGTTAGGATATTAAATTTGTTTTACCAACATCTAATTTACTGATATCCCAGTATCTCTAAATGGTGGTAACATCCCCATTTTCCAGGTTAGGAAACGGCCTGAGGTCACAAAGCTATCAAGTGACAGGGTTGGGGTGCAAATCTAAGTTTTCCAGATTTCAGCACCTATCCTCTTCACTAGACTCACTGAAAATTTCTAGAAACCAGCAATCAAGGACTGAATTTTTTTTTTAAAGTTTATTTATTAAAGTGATCTTTATACCTACCATGGGGCTTGAACTCACAACTCCAAGATCAAGAATCATGTGCTCGGGGTGCTTGGGTGGCAGTCAAGACTCTTGGTTTTGGCTCAGGTCATGATCTCAGGGTCCTGGGATACACCCCCCTTTGGGCTCCATGCTCAGCAGGGAGTCGGCTTGAGATTCCCTCCCTTTGCCCCTCCCACTCGTACTGTTTTTCTCTTTCAAATAAATCTTAAAACAAAACAAAACCCCAAAAAAGGAGTCACATGTTCTTCCAACTGGGCCAGCCAGGTACCACTTTTTATTTTTTAAGCTCTAAGCCCAAGGTGGGGCTTGAACTCATGGTTCCAAGATGACAAGTTGCATGCTCTACCAACTGAGCCTGCCAGGAACCCCAAGGACTGAATAAAACAAAAAACAAACAAAAGACAGACTTATTTATTTGAGAGAAAAAGAGAAAAGAGAATGTGCACACATACAGGGGTGAAGAGCAGAGCGAGATGGAGAATCTCAAGCAAACTCCTTGCTAAGTGCAGAGCCTGACGCCTCATGGGACTCAATCTCCTGACCTGACCCAAAAACAAGAGTCGAACACTTACATTACTGAGCCACCCATGCGCACCCCCACGCCCAGGACTGAATTTTCAACAAAACTGTGGTAAAATACACACATTTACTACCTTAACCAGTTTTATTTTTATTTTTTTTCCTTAATCAGTTTTAAATTTTTACAGTTCAGCAGCATTAAATACATTCATTGGCTGTGCAGTCATCCCCACCATCCGTCTCCAGAGCTCTTCTCATGCGGCAAAACTGAAGCTCTGTTCCCATTAAACCCTAACCCTCCAGCTCCTGGCATCCACCATCTTCTTCCTGTCCTTATGAATTCGATAAATCTAGGGACCCCAGATGAGTAGAAGCAGAAGGTACTCAAACAGGCTCCTTTGAGTGACTTCCGGACTAAACCCCCTTCCTCATCCTCTCCCCTGCTCACTTTTACTCCTGTTTTGAGCAGTTTTTACTGGACCTTTAGCTTTTGGAACAAGGCAGTTTCTTTTTAAGGGCATAGATAAGAAAGGATAGATATACTCCTCTTTTGGGAAAGAGCCATATTCAACAGAGCAGAAAACAGAGGTGGTTCTTTTCAAGGCTGGTAACTAACTTTATTCTACATTGGTTTTCCCTTCCCACCCTTTTGAAATTTGCATAAACACCACCACGAAGCTACTGTTAGTGCACATTTAAAACTATGCCAGATGTGGGACGTCTGGGTGGCTCAGGGGTGGAGTGTCTGCCTTCAGCTCAGGGCGTGATCCAGTGTCCTGGGATTGAGTCCCATATCAGGCTCCCCACAGGGGACCTGCTTCTCTCTCTGCCTGTGTCTCTGCCTCTCTCTGTGTCTCTCTCTCTCTCTCTCTCTTTTTTTTTTAAAGATTTTATTTATTCATGAGAGACACAGAGAGAGGTAGGCGGGGGCAGAGACACAGGCAGAGGGAGAAGCAGGCTCCATGCAGGGAGCCCGACACGGGACTTAATCCTGGGTCTCTAGGATCAGACCTTGGACTGAAGGTGGTGCTAAACTGCTGAGCCACCCGGGCTGCCCACTCTGTGTCTCTCTTGAATAAATAAAACCTTAAAAAAAATAAAACTATGCCAGACAAAAGTCGTGAATCCTGTAACACACACTCAACAGCTGATACTACTACAGTGATGCCCTTAGTTTCTGACAGGGTTCCCAATGCTGTTTAAGTGCTAATAAAAATAGATGGCACTGAGCTGTTACTTTTATCAGACCAAGACATTAAAAAAGATGACACTGGAACCCTAGAAGAGAAGGAATCTCTATACTGAAAAACTTTATTCCCTTTATTGGTATAAATGTTACACCAATTCTGACAGTTCACTATTTTACTGAGCTAGTCCAAAAAAACAAAACCACAAAAACAGGAGAAGGCACTAGAGTAGGAGAGGCTTCCCCTTCTCTAAGCTTGTAGAGAAGCACATACTCTCAGCTGTGAGGGAGAGGCAGGATCTGCCAGCTCATCATGGTGATTTTGTTACCACTGCTTAGGAAGGGCACCTCGCTGGGGGTGGGGGGCATAGCAGCACTCTCCAACCAGCCCCTCCGACATAGTCTCCGCCACACTTACACGGTGGCAAGCTCACTCAGGGCCTCCTGGTAGCGCAGGTACTCACTCTGGCCAAAGACCTGAGGAAAGATGAAGGAAGAGTGAGACCCCCTCAGGTTGCGGTATCCCTTTAGGTCCCTGAAGGAAAAAGTGGCCATCCCTCTTACCCCTGTCCCGTAGCGGGCTGTTTCATAGCCATCCAGCAAGGTATCAATGAGGGCTTTGCGTACACCCTTAAAAGGAGTACTAGTGTTCCGAAGATCTAGCAGGTAGGAGCGGAAATTCTTGCCCATTAAGGAACGGGGATGCCTGCCTTCAGCGTGAAATGGTATCTCTGTGGGGATAATAGATAATGATAACCCTTCCCCCATTTATTAGTCTTCCTAGTTATCACCCACGTCAAGATATGGGTCCAATGAGTGAATTAGAGGAAAATTCTAATAGAATGAAGACCAGACTCACAGAGCTATATCTGAGTGGTCATTTGGTGGTGACAACACAGCTATAACCTACACCAAAGGTACACAACAGTGTCTCTAATTCACCCTCCTACTCGCTCATCCTGGCTCTATAATATAAACCATGTTTTTTACGGGGAGCCCAGGTGGCTCAGCGGTTTAGTGCTGCCTTCATTCAGCCCAGGGCCTGCTCCTGGAGACCCGGGATCAAGTCCCACATCGGGCTCCCTGCATGGAGCCTGCTTCTCCCTCTGCCCATGTCTCTGCCTCCCTCTCTCCCTGTTTATTTATTTATAAGATTTTATTTATTTATTCATAAGAAACAGAGAAAGAGAGAGAGGGCAGCAGAGACACAGGCAGAGGGAGAAGCAGACTCCAGGCAGGGACTCGATCCCAGGTCTCCAGGATCAAGCCCTGGGCTGAATGAAGGTGGCACTGAACCGCTGAGCCACCTGGGCTGCCCTCTCCCTCTCTGTGTCTCTCATGAATAAATAAGTAAAATCTTTAAAAAACAAACAAAAAACCCCACAACAACCCCCCCTCCCAAAACCATGTTTTAGCAGAGATGAAGCATATTTGACAATGGTCATAGAATAAAAAAAACCCTAATAACCATTTATCTTGGTCTTACTGAAAAAGCAGAGATCACCTTTTTTTGGTGGAAAAACAAGCAAATCACCACCATCCAGTTCATGAAACAAAACAAGGGCAGCCCGGGTGGCTGAGCGGTTTAGCACCGCCTTCAGCCCAGGGTCTGATCCTGGAGACTCGGGATTGAGTCCCACATCAGGCTTCCTGCATGGAGCCTGTTTCTCCCTCTGCCTGTGTCTCTGCCTCTCTGTGGGTCTCCCATGAATAAATAAATAAAATCTTAAAAAAAAAAAACAAAAAACCAAGTTCACTTACTGAAGAAATAACGTGCCTCCATCATTTCCTTAGACAAAATAATAACCTAGTACTCTCAAACTCTAGGAAATTCCTCCTAGCCAATGATGTACAGAAAGGACAAATTTTAGTATCTATAAAGTGGGTTCCTCCCTCTTCCCCAGGTGGGCTTTCAGAATTCTATCCTGTTGGATAACCCTTACCAGAGGCACGGATGGCATCCAGAGCTTTCATCCTGTATAGATAGTTGTAGCAATCTGTTAAGAAAGAGACTGGTCATAGATATAACCCTCAGAAGACTTCCCAAACTCCAGCAAGCTAATAAGTTGCCTCCCCGTATCTGAAATATACCCAGCAATAGAGGAACCACAGGTGCAGGTATTGCTAGCAGCTATGCTAACAGCTCGGAGACCAAAGGAATTCTGAACTTGTGGGAATCCTCACTGAAGCATCCTCCAAGGGCATGCCACATACTCTGATTTCCCTGGGTTTCCAGCTGTAGCAGTCTTGCATCACCATCTGCAAGGAGCTGAGGTTCATACTTGATATCTTGAACCCTGGATAGCCGGATATCAATCTCCTCTTTCAAGTCCTGTTCACACAGAGAAAACAACATACAACCATTTACTTTATACTCTGCTTTCCATCAACCTGGAAATGGGGCCAAGCAAGTGAACAACTAAGACAAAGGAAGCAGAAAAATAAAAATGCTCATCTGGCTGATAAAATTGCCAGGTAAGACTAAAAAATTTAAGGCTGGAATTAGGTTCTCTAAAAACTTTTCTAAACTGTACATTCCTTTTAATTTTTTTTAATTTTTTAAAGATTTTATTTATTTATTCATGGAAGACACAGAGAGAGAGAGACAGAGACACAGGCAGAGAGTAGCAGACTCCACGCAGGGAACCTGACTTGGGCCTTGATCCTGGGTCTCCAAGATCATCACATCCTGGGCTGAAGGCGGCACTAAACCGCTGAGCCACCGGGGCTGCCCCTAAACTGTACATTCCTAAGCTAGATGTTTTAACCTGCTAGGGCAGCCCGGGGGCTCAGCGGTTTAGCACCGCCTTCAGCCCAGGGCATGATCCTGGAGACCGGGGATTGAGTCCCACGTCCCACTCCCTATATGGAGCCTGCCTCTCTCTCTCTCTGAGTCTCTCATGAATAAACAAAAATCTTAAAAAAAAAAAACAAAGCCGTAAAAGGGACACCTGGGTGACTCAGCAGTTGGGTGCTGGCCTGCAATTCAGGTTGTGATCCTGGGATCCAGGATCGAGTCCCATATCGGGCTCCCTGCTAGGAGCCTGCTTCTCTATCTGCCTGTCTCTGCCTCTCTCAGTCTGTCTCTCATGAATAAACAAATACATCTTTAAAAAATATATATCCATAAGAAAGCCTATATAGGGACGCCTGGGTGGCTCAGGGGTTGAGCACGTGCCTTCTGCTCAGAGTGTGATCCCGGGGGGCCTGGAATAGAGTGCCCCATCGGGCTCCCCACAGGGAACCTGCCTCTCTCATGAATAAAAGAAATCTTAAAAAAAAAAAAAAAGCAAGCCTGTACATAATATATAATACCATAGGGGCCATTCTACCTGATGGACCACAGAACTTCTTAAGGCTTTCTCTAGAGTCTATTAATCCTTTAAAACATTTTTTTCTGATTTTATTTATTTATTCATGAGAGACACAGAAAGAGGTAGAGACATAGGCAGAGGGAGAAGCTGGCTCCCTCTGGGGAGCCTGATGGGGGACTCGATTCTGATTCCCGGAATCCAGGATCACACCCTGAGCCCAAGGCAGACAATCGCTGAGCCACCCAGACGTCCCTAAAGTTTATCAATCCTTTATTTATTTAAAAGATTTTATTTATTTATTCATGAGAGAGACACACAGAGAGAGAGATATGCAGAGACACAGGCAGAGGGAGAAGCAGGCTCTATGCAGGGAGCCCGACGTGGGACTCCATCCCGGGTCTCCAGGACCAGGCCCTGGGCTGAATGAAGGCAGCACTAAACCGCTGAGCCACCTGGGCTGCCCTCAATCCTTTTAAATAGGTAATTTACACCCATGGCTTAAAATTCCAAAAAAGTACTAAAGCCACCCCTCACTTACCCACAACCACTGTTAATAGTTCCAAGTTCATGTCTCTTAAGAGCCTCAGCAGATTTTCTTCTTTTACATTTATTTACTTAAAATTTTTTTAAGATTTTATTTTAGAGTAAGTGACTGCACGCACAAGCAAGCACAAGCAGCAGGTAGAGGAAGCAGCAGGATCCCCGCTGAGCAGGGAGACAAGGCACTCAATCCCAGGACCCTAGGATCAATGACCCAAGCCAAAGGCAGACATTTAACTAAGCCATCCAGGCGCCCCATATTTAAGTAGACTCTACATTCAGCATACAGCCCAATGCAGGGCTTGAACTCAGAACTTGAGATGGAGACCTAAGCTTGTGATAACTGACTGAGCTCCCCAGGTGCTTCTTGTTACTTTTTAGAAACTTTTAGAAACTTCCACTGTGAAATATATCAAGTGTGGAATACTTGTTACCTACATTTTAAGGAACTGAAAAATCATTAAGATGAACATCTATAACCACTATCCTGTTTATGAACATGTTACCAATGACTCTGAAGCCTTGAGTGCCTATCCCTGACTGAATGCAACTTCCAACCTTAATTTGTCAAAAATCTCACTTTTCTTTACTATTTTATCACATTACCAACCTAAACTAGATGTTTAGCTTTGTCTGGTTTTGAACTTCGCACAAATGGAAAAATATGTTTTGAATTCCTCTACAATTGTCTTTTAAAATTTTAAACACTTTATATTGAGGTTGAACTTATAGGAGATAAAATACATCCAACTTGGGTTGATGACTTTTGACAAATGAATACACCCATTCAACCACCACTACAGCCAAGATATAGAACACTTCCATCATCCCAAAACGTTCTACACGTCTCTGCAGTCAACCTCTCCTTCCCTGCTTCAGGCAACATTATGTACTATTGAGATAGTCGTCTATTGTAGAATTTCATAAAAAAGGAATGGAACAAAATGGTAGTTTTTTTATGAATGGCCTCCTGTTTTTTTTTTTTTTTCCACTCAGTATGTTTTTGAGGTTTACTCACGTTTGTGGCTTTTTTCATTCAAAAACAGTTTAGTGGGGATGCCTGGGTGGCTCAGGGGTTGAGTGTCTGCCTTTGCCTTTGCCTCAGGGCGTGTGTGATCCCAAGGTCCTAGGATTAAGTCGCATATCAGGCTCCCCACAGGGAACCTGCTTCTCCCTCTGCCTGTGTCTCTGCCTGTCTCTCTCTCAATGAGTAAATAAAATCATAAAAAAAGTTTAATGTTTATATATTTGTTGCTTAGCTTATTCTTGTAGTATTCTAGAATATAAATACATTACAATAAATATGCTCAACTAGACATTTGGACTAAATTTTTATTTTTTTTTAATTTTTATTTATTTATGATAGTCACAGAGAGAGAGAGAGAGAGAAAGGCAGAGACACAGACAGAGGGAGAAGCAGGCTCCATGCACCAGGAGCCTGACGTGGGATTCGATCCCGGGTCTCCAGGATCGCGCCCTGGGCCAAAGGCAGGCGCCAAACCACTGCGCCACCCAGGGATCCCCTGGACTAAATTTCTTCTTGAAATATCACAATCACTGAAACACTCATACATGTCTTTTGGTACAATATTAGCAAAAATTAATTTCTCTTAAGGTAAAAGTAGAATTGCTGCATTACAGATTAGGTACATGTGTTATCTTACTAGATCATGCCCAATTATTTTCCAAAGTAGTTTTACTTATTTGCATTTCCACCAGCAATAAATGAGAATCTAGATGAGAGAATTCTTTAAAGTAGAGGGAATCTTATCTCATGTAGTCCAGAGAGCTCCTAAATAAACTTTGCCTGGATCATGATGTGCTGGAAGCCAGCCCTAAATCCCTCTTATAGAGCAGTTGGCATCTGGAGAACTGAGGGAATGTGGAAGAAGCTCTGTTGAGGGTTTAGGCCACAACACGTTAAGGTTTCCATGAAATACCTTAGCAAAGAACAAAAAGAGGAGGATTAACAGCACCGGTTGATGAAAGGACACTGATCTAGGAGTTGAGGGAATTATGTACTAGCTTTAATTCTCCCAGTAGCCTGTTTTGTGACTCAAAAATTACTGGGTATCTGTTAGATATAGGCAGGGGCCTGCATTCTTTTTTTTTTTTTTTAAGATTTTATTTATTTATTTATTTATTTATTTATTTATTTATTTATTTATTTATTTATTTATTTATTTATGAGAAACAGAGAAGAAGAGACACAGGCAGAGGGAGAAACAGACTCCATGCAGGGAGCCCGACATGGGACTCCATCCCAGGTCCCCAGGATCACTGCCTGGGCCGAAGGCAGCGCCAAACCGCTGAGCCACCCAGGCTGCCCCAGGGGCCTGCATTCTTGAAGCTTACAGTCTAGTGGAAGCTGGGCATTAAACAAATTGACACACTCAAATTTGTGATAAATTAGTATCTAAAAAAATATCAGGATAGTATGAAAAAAATTAAGAGCACCTACTTAAAAATAAGCAATAAGTATTCTTCTTTGGAGAGAAATCACATCTGAGCTGAGATCTAAAGGGCAAAATCAGCTAGCGAGAGCGAGGAAGGAGATCACTAGGGCACAGCAAGGCACGTGTAGCTGGAGCCCAGCTAGACCTCTGGTAAGTAGGGAGCACCGCACTCAAGGGCTGGGGCCTCGCGTGCCTGTCGGACGGCAGAAAGCTACATACATGCAGGATTCGGCAGACATTTGGGAGAGAGAAAATTCCGCCTGTATTTAAACGCTGAGAGGAAACCAGTTACCTGAGGAGAAACCGCAGACAAAAGACCACTCGCGGTCTGCACGTCCTGCGGCTTCCTCAGGTTCCTGTCACAGGAATGGGGGACTTGGACCTTCAGGAGAACCCTTGTATCCGGGCTAACAACCCCCCAACCCATCCCATAGCGAAACCTGAGCAGGAAACACGACGCTCAACGCCGAACTGTCAGCACAGAGCCGACAACATTAATCCGAGTCTTTCACTCCGCGAATGCGGATGGCGCCGGGCAGGAGCGCTAACCCCGCGAGTTAGCCTTCCCTCTCCTCCCCTCCCCGCTCTCTCCAACCCCGAGAGCGCCCGGGCCACTGACAAGCACAGCGCGACAGACTCATCCTCAAGGCAAAACACATCCCGTCCTGCGCCCCCCTGGGCCCTCCTGCGCCTGCAGAACCAGGCCCCTCTCGCGCCTGCAGGACCTACCTTGGGGGCATTGTGTCCCACAGGGACATGAGGTCCCCTTCGGGATTTCATTGCAAAGCGCATGATTTGTCTCTTCACAAAAATAAATAGCAGAACAAACACCTGTGCAAAAAGTGAGACAAGTACGGAATCTTTAATAACAAGTCGATAAAACAAAACAGAACAAAACAAAACACGCCTCCGTTTTAAATGCCCAGATGCGGCTCTCACGGGTGCTTCGGGGACAAAGTGGGGTGGCAGGCTGCGGGGGTCGGGCTAGGCTCCGGGGGTCGGGTCCGGGGCAGGGCTCACGGCCCGGCGGGGGGCGGGGCGGCCGAGGCCGTGGCTTAGGTCCCCGGGTCTGGGAGGAGTCCAGGCCCAGAGAAGGTGCAGGAGAGTGGGTGGAGGTTGAAGACCAGGTCTCTCTTGGGTCAGAAGCGACGGCAGAAAGGGGTGGGGGAATCTCCTCACCAGGCTCCCGTAGGCCATCACCAGCACGACATTCACGCCGGACAGCCAGTTACTGCTGGACGCCATGACCTCCCCACCCCGCGCACAACTGCTCCAGGTCTCCCCGCCGCCTCGCTTCGTCAGCCTGGGCTCCGCCGAGGCACTGGCGCCGGGGCTCCCCAAAGCCCCTTGGCCATTTCCTCACAGAGAAAATCCAAGGCTGACCCGGCCTGAAAACATGGCGGACGACGGCCGAGGAAAGAAGAACGTCGCCTTCCCGCTCCCCTCAGCACGTGACCTAGACCCGCACCGGCCCCGCGAGCGGCGCGCGCCGAGGCGCCGAGCAACGCCAGGAACAGGAAACGGAGGCCGCCGTGCGTCACACGGCAGAGGCGAGGCGAACGCGCGGAGCCGCACCACAGCGGCTCCTGGCCAGGTGGCGCGCGCACGCTTGCGTGCGCGTCCCTTTTCGCGTCACGTGCCGGGGGACGCAGGCAAGCAAGTGGGAGGGGGAAGGCGCGAGCGCGAGCGCGAGCGAGGAAAGGAGGGAGGGGGTGGGGAGGAGGGAACCTCACATCACGTGACAGGGGCGGCGCGGCCCGGGGTGTCAGTGTGGAGGAGACTGAGGTAAAGTTGGGAGCGCAGCGGCGTTGGCGGCGGCGGCGGCAGCAGCGGCAGCGCGGCGGGGCCGGGTATTGTCCGCGGCCCCTTTAAATCCGCGGTCTCCTTTTCCCCTCCCTCCCTTCTCCCCTACCCCGCCGCCCCCCCCAGTAGGCCCCCCGCCCCATGCGTTCCCCCCACTGGACACCCCTCCCGGTCGCGCGAACCCGGCGCCCCCCCTCGAGTCGGCCGCCGGGGGTTTTGTTTATGGTTGGATTTGCGGCCTAGTGGGCCGCGCCGGAGCCGGGGCCTCGATTTGGGAGCGTGGCCGGGGCGGGGCTTGGGCGGCCGGAGGGGGGGGGCCATGCGGCTAGAGCCCGAGCGGGGAGAGCAAGGAAGAGCGCGGGCGAGCGCGGCTTGGGCCCCGCCTGAGGTAGGGCCCGCTGAGCCTCGGCCGCTGCCTGTGAAGACGCCCGGGGGGCCTCCTCCCTTCCTGGCCCGCTGCGGCCTCTTCGGGTCCGGATCCGGCCTGGTTTGGGGGCGGCGGGGGCAGGGCGGCGGGGTGGAGCTGCCCCGAACTCCCCCATGTGGCCCTCGGTCTGGAGTGCGGAGGATGAATTTGTTCCGGGTGGGAGGTGAGGCGGCGGGCGGGGAGCCCCGCGGGGGCGCGGCGCGGGGTGCGCCTCCCTTCTCCGCGCGTGGGCTGCGGCCCCTCTCGGCCCCGGCCTCTTTGTCAGCCTGCGGGAGCCCCGGCTCCGGGAACGTGTTCGCGGCGGCCGCGCGGGCTGGCGAGGGGCAGTCGGGGAGGCCCGTGGGGGTGTCCGCCTCGGGGGCGCCCCTGAGCCCGGGCCTGGGTCCGCGCCCCTAGGGTAGCGCGGGGATCCCAAATTCCTTCAGACCCTGTGCTCTGTGGACAAGCCCCAAATTGCTTTGCAAACTGATGTCACAAACAGGAGACGGTCTCTCCGCCTTGAAGTGTAGTCTCCTCGGGTGGAGGGTGTCGTGGAAGCAAAACACAGTAACAGGCCCTTTTTGTTGTCATTGTTACCGTGTTCGCCCAGTGTCCCCGAGCATGAGGCGGAGAAAGGCGTTTGCTGCGTTCTCTCCATCCCCCTCCGCCGCCCGGGTGCTGCCGAGGGACGGTCCTGCCGGGGTGGCGAGGGCCGCTGACCGCCAGCCCTCCCGGAGGAGGAGGAGGGAACCGCGTTGGTCCGCGACGCTGAACTCCCCCAGCATTGTCCGTAAGGAGTAGCCGGTGCCAGTGATGGTTTCCGCTGTGGACAGCGAGCATCGCTGGCCCGGAGCTAATGATGAAAGACCTTAAGTCGGGCTGTTTGGGTCCTGAGTTTTGAAGCCCCTCTTTGCTGAATGTGTCCTATCTGGCAAGTACTCTTTTTAAAATTAGACTAGAGTGTACCGAGAAGGGGACGCAGGGTCATTTCCACAAAGCACCTAAGGGAGTTAGTCGTTCTGTTAGAGGTAGCGAGCCTCACCCATCCCAGTCCAGCTTCAGAGTGTCTGAATTGTTGCTCAACTTAGATTGTAAGCTCCCTGAGGGCAGCAACCGAGTCATACTGCTTTTGTATTTCCTAAAGTACTGGACACATAGTAGATACTCAATAAATACTTGTTATTTATTTTTTTCTGTAAAATTTCTCTGGCTATTTTTTCAAGTAGCTGGTTTTCAAAAGATGGTCAAGGACACACCTGTGTTCAAACCAGTATTTGTTTCTACGCTGTTCCCTTGGTCTCCCAACACATCTCATGTGTTTCCCGTAAATATTTTTATTTGCTAAGGAAAAGTTCTTAAGATTCCTCCATTCCACTGTGATAACTCTAGTTACATGTCTCTGCTTGCTACTAAAAGGCTACTGATTTTGTGCCCTCCAGTGATCCATCCCAGATCACTTAGTTTTGTTTGACCCGTCCTTCAGTGGTGTTAACTACCTAGGCGGTAAAATTTTCTTAGCTACATGTCTCAAAGCACCTGTAAGAGAGAGATGAAGTTAACAGCAGGAGTGATCAGGAGTGGTGGGTCGTCCCACCCCCCCTTCGGTAATTAAGTGGCTTTCAAGAGGACTTTTTAATATATATTTACACTGGTATAGTACATGCAGTTATCTGTATTGTTAGTCATGCAGTTTATAGTATTACGGTTGTAGGTTGAAACCACATGTGAAGTAGAAAGCAGCCAGTTTCTAAGTTACAAAAGCGTTTATTATTTGCATTAGAAACTTCATTTTAGAGCCACTTAGTAAGTATAATAGTTTTCGTCCGTTTTAATTTTTCTCTTTGATTTGAATCCAGGGGTACTGGTTAAAGAACACTTGTTCTTTTGTGAGTGATGAAACTTGGCTATAATGCCAGTCTGGGAAAATGGACTACTGTGTAGCAAATAATCCTGTACTAGTTGGAAATACGTACAGGCCTTTGTGTGCACATGTGCATGTGTGTAGGGAGAAGAGACAGTAGTTAAAGAATTAGCTTTGAGATTTCCTCAGAAATTCTGATGATAGGGACTCCTGGGTGGCTCAGCGGTTAAGCATCTGCCTTCTGCTCAGGGTGTGATCCTGGAGTCCCTGGATTGAGTCCACATCGGACTCCCTGCATGGAGCCTGCTTCTCCCTCTGCCTATGTCTCTGCCTCTCTGTCTCCCTGTGTCTCTAATGAATAAATGAATAAATCCGAGAAAAAAATAAATTCTGATGATAGAGACTGAAAAACTCTTAATTCTTATTGATTGTATCAAAAAAAACTTGATTCAACTTGGTGAAGAATATATCCACAGAGAAGTCAGCTTTCTTTGTAACCTGAAAAACTGGTGAAATTCACTTACCTAATAATTAATCCTTCTGTATTCCTTTAGAGGCTCAACCTGCCTCTTCCTCAAATTCAGCATTGTCTTTGGGCAGCTTAGCATTACCCCATATAAAGTTTTTATTAATGAAAAAATTATAAGTAGAGCAGAAAATACAAACTTACCCTCTTTGAGAGTGAATAAAACAACACAGTAATGGCATATTTTGAACATTCCATCATATTGTGAATATTTTCTTTGTTTACTAAATGCAACAGCCGAGGTTGCGTTAAAGCAAAGTATGAATGAAGGGAACTTAAGTTCAGGAGAATCCTAGTTTGCTAGAACTGTTAATAATGAAAACCATTCTCGTTTTGGGAAAGGCTCTATATGCTCTCTGTCTCTCTAAAGACTCAACAAAGTACTATTGCTGGCAATAGTGTCTCAAGTTTAAAATGATAATCCTAGAAGTCCTTTCTTCCAAATAAAACTTTGTACTAGATGCTTTTGGTTTGGGACAGATCTGTATATTAAGGTGAGTGGTAAAGGGTATTTGCATTTCTGGTGCCTGGGAACTGTGGAGTAGGTGGTCAACAGAAGTAGCTGCAAAAACTGTTGGAATTATCTAGGGAACTGAGATTCTGAGCAAAGTCACTGGGGCCAATACTTGCCTTGTTGAAGGTTATACAAGCTCCCACTGCATGACGAGAGATACAACTTGAGGGAGAAAGACTAAACTTGAGCTTGTCCTTTCCCAAGTGATGGGGGTCACATGCAATTTATATAAACTGGTTGTAAGGAAGATAGGACTTTTCATAGGTAGACTTGAGTACAATATTTTAAGTTATTTTTATTTGGAGTATAGACTAATCCCCTTCCTGGAAGGCTTTTATTTTCCAGGTTTTGCTGATTGTCTTTTCTTTTGTCAAAGGGACTTTAGATATTTTTGTGTAGAAGGCTTTTGATTCTTAACATCATTTTGCTTGCTATTAAGATAGCAAAACTTCGCTAAGCCTGTGTATAGGGGACTAGGAACCAAAGCATGCCCATAATAACTTAAAAACAAAAACTGTCACTTGACACATGCTTTTTATATTTCTTGTTTTACAAAAATAGATTAACAGCCATTGTTCCTTAAGGAATTTGTCAACTAAATATGTCTCAACAGATGAATCCTTTTGTTTTTTTTCCTTTAAAGAAATGAAAATGGCGAAGATGCTGATGAAAGACAATGAAAATACATTTTACCCATATTTAACCTCTAAATTTTTTTTTTTTACTCTTTCAGTATTCTACCTTGTAAATACTGTTATTTGTATATACTGTAAATGATGACGTCGGTGGGCACTAACCGAGCCCGGGGAAACTGGGAACAACCTCAAAACCAAAACCAGATGCAGCACAAGCAGCGGCCGCAGGTAAAGAACCCAAGGGGTATGGATCTGTTGGTAGCACTGCTGGTTGATGTTGGTTTCCATTCAGTGCAGCATCATTCTTTGCTTTGGATTGTTGGTTTGGGTTTTTTATTCTTGATTTCTAGTCCTTCATTTTACTTAGAACCTGATGATTGTTGATATGCTATACAACGTGCTTGCTTTTTGTTGTTCAATATTGCATTATGAGACTTGGAAAGAATGGGTCCTGTGCTTTGTTTTTGTTTTTTTTTTAAACCTTTTTAAAAAGATTTATTTATTTATTTATTTATTTATTTATTTATTTATTTATTTATTTATTTATTTATGATAGAGAGAGAGAGAAAGAGGCAGAGACACAGGAGGAGGGAGAAGCAGGCTCCATGCCGGGAGCCTGACGTGGGACTCGATCCCGGGACTCCAGGATCGCGCCCTGGGCCAAAGGCAGGCGCTAAACCGCTGAGCCACCCAGGGATCCCCGGGTCCTGTGCTTTGAATATCTAAGGTAGCATTTCCCCAGGACGAAATCTTATGTTATTCTCAAGCCTAGAGATAAGAGGGTAGCATTGGTTCTTGCAGGAATGGGAATAGGGTTTACACGTGACTTTGTAAATAAAAAATGAATTATTTGAGGTATAAATGTTTC